GTGAGAGGTATTCAACTGCTTAAAGATTTGTTTTTACCTTGACCTCACTTTTTTTAAATTTGCAGCTTGCTAACTTTCAAACCAAAAAAACTATTCAAGATATTTTTGTAACTTATACATAATTTTAAATTTGGTAAGAATTTATCAACTGTGTGTATTTTTTTAAAAACTGACTTCCCCTATGGCCTTCAACTTTCTCATCTACTGTGTATAAAAATGATTTATTTTGAAAGTACATGTACTCAAGTTTAACCTTTTCTTCAAACTTCACACACTATATAAAGCAAAGTTTCATGTGCATTCAAATACAATTAAGTGAACTGGTGAATTATATGTTGGGCATTTATGTCCTATTCCTCGTTTTTTGTATGAAATGAACAACAATTCCTTGATTAATTATATTATTTATTTTGATGATTTTTTCTAGTTTTTTCCAGTGCAATTTTCTGATTTTTATGGGTTTTTTTATTTTTTTTAAATATTTGATAGTTTATTTTATCGTTAATAAAGTTGTTGAAACATGATCTTTTCTTCTTTATATATGATATAATTGATATTCCATTTTCGAGCTCAAGTCTTTAAAAAAGTGGGGGAAAATATTATTGTCCCTATTAACTTAAGATCTGATCGTTAAAAATGAATTTTGAGACGACCTCTGTTGTTACAACTATAAATAACAACGATAGGTGGCGAAAACCGGAACTACTTGAAATCATCTAAACTGCTTGAACTCCAGCATATTTTAATTGGAAAACTTCGATTATAAAGTATAATGTTTTAAACAAAATATTAATGTGGCTTGAAAGAGTAAATAAAGGACTACTTATTTCAATGTAGAAATCAAACACAGGTCCTGCATAAATAATTTACCGAGTGTTTTTCCCGTTACGATCCGGAACTGCTTAAATCACTGTAGATATATGCATAAATAAACAAATTGTGAGGTTTTAATGGTATTGTATCGCCCTACGGCGCACGGATGATAACGTCAAAGTGTCTAATATTGCGTCACGTTTCATCTTTGCTAAAAATAAAGTTGATAAGTTGGATAAGTCCCACTTAAATAAAGAAATCCCATTGATTCACAAACTTGAGTCTCCATTAACAGTTAAGGAACCAATGTGGCACAAACATACGATCTTTTGAAGATTTATCAGTAAGTTACGGACAGTATTCTCACCACCATTTAACTAAGAGAGAATCTTATATCGACGGTCAGCGACAGCGTCTTTTGTTATTACAATAGCAGTTTGTCCGTATGTTTTGTACTGCCATAGGGATTCGATCAAAAAGACTTCGCAAAGAAAGCTTCCATTTCATTTGTTTACTAAAAGATCTAGTGATATTTTTATACTTTTTTATTCTGTATTCATTTAAAGTCTCTTGAGGTGTCATTACAACATCTAAATCAAACTGAACTTCTCTCCGGTGCGCCGTAACGTCATCAAACGTCGCCATTTTTTGTGTGTTGTGTCTACCACTTTCTTATTTCGAATGCTTGGGAAAAATTAACAAAATACCTTGAATTTTTATAAAGACGACAAAATTGGTTGTGGAATCGAATTAAGATTATTTCCATTCCAATCAAATGTATTTAAAACTTTTATTTTGAATTAATACTTCTGCATTCTCTAATAAACCCTTGGTTTTTTGCCGTGCGACGTAGGACCGTGCCCTGTGCACATTCAAGCATAATAAAATCTTTATTTTTGTCTATATATTATCAAAAATGTTATGATGCATTTAAATATGATAAACAAACATTTGCTGAAAATTTCAGCTTAGTGCCCCAATTACTTTTTGAGAAAAACGCTTTGTCCATGATTTTACCGGAAAACCCTTGTATTAAGTTCTTCAATAGATTGTTTGGTTTGTTTGTTTTTTAACGTGTTTCTCGAGAATTATGCACTCATATGAAGATTCCACCGCTTACTGGTGGAGAGCTGTATTTTGACCTTTACTAAGGACCATTTAGCATTGAAGCATCTTTTTCGTGTCAGTGCCTATTGCATCAAGTGACCTAACTTACTTACACAGTCTCGAATGAATGACCGGGCTTTATAATACAGCATAAACAGTCGATGTTTCCTTTAAGTTTGAAAATAATGTTTTTATGCCCCCGTAAATGAAGTTTCGGGGGTATACAGTTTTTGTCCTGTCCGCCAGTCTGTCTGTCTGTCTCTCTGTTTGTCTAGCTGTCTGCAAAAACTTTAACCTTGCCCATAACATTACTTGTGACAAGACCTTTCTTTGGGTACCACAAAATTTGACCTTTTGACTTGACCTTCGATTTGACCCACTTTTACACAAAAATTCCAAAATTTTTTCTTTGGCCGTATCTTTTGTTTATAAACATTGGATACTACCAACCTTGACCTTTTGAATTTAGAGATTTTTGTACTAAAGAAAAAACTTAAACCTTGGCAATAACTTTTGAACGGGAACGGCTAGAGCTTTCATACTTCACATATATAATCCTTGTAAGAAGACCCTTTATTGGATACCAAGAACTTTGAGCCTTTGACCTTGACCTTGGAGTTTGATCTACTTTTCGAAAAACTAACCTTGACCACATATTTTAAAGGGTTAGAGCTAGTGCTTTCATACTTTATTTATTTCATCCTTGTGACAAGACCTTTCATTTCATATGAAAACCATTGACCCTAATTGGAGTTTGGCCTACTTTTACAAATTTTAAGCTTGGCCATTACTTATGAAAGGTTAGGGCTAGAGCTTTCATACTTCAAATATGTATTCTTTGTGGCAAGACCATTTATTGGATACCAATAACCTTGACCTCAGAGATTTTCAGACTTATGAAAAAACATTAACCTTGGTAATAACTTTTGAACAGTAGGGGCTAGGGCTTTCATACTTCACATATGTATTCCTTGTGACAAGACCTTTTGTTGAATACCAATAATCTTGACCGTCTGATCTTGATCTTGTAGTTTGGCTTACTTTAAAATCGTTTTAACCTTGGCCATAACCTAAGAATGGTTAGGACTAGGGCTTCCATACTTCACAAATGTCTTCTTTGTGGAAAGACCAATAACTTTGACCTTCTGACCTTGATTTTGAAGATTTCTGTACTTATGAAAAAACTTTAACCTGGCCCTAACTTGAGAACAGATGGTGATAAGGCTTTCATGTTTAACAATTGTATTTTCAGTAAGGAGACCCTACTTTGGGTACCAATATATTAAATTTGCATTTAAGAAAAGTTTAATCTTCACTATGTTGCCATACGGGGGCATCAGTGTTTCACAAACACATCTTGTTACCAGACACTAGTACATCGAATACTTGATACATGTGACAGTGAACTGGTTGTTATAACTATTTTCTTAATATTATTTCACTCTTTATCTCGAATACAGAAATCTTTTTTTCGTGTTCGTTAATGTTGGATTCGTCAAGTTTTGATAACAAGACGTATGCACAAAAATGAAGAGCAGTACATTTATGTCAAAAATTAATAAAATGTGTCTTAAATACATCATACTGTGAATCATCAATGTTTGTGGGGGACCAATGTTCGTGGATTTCGTGGGTCACCTTTATCCACGAATTTACATCCTCCCAAACATTTATTTTATAAACATATTTATACATAATGAATCTTCTGTATATATGAGTTACATGTACACTCGAAATTACATCCCCACGAACCAACAAAATTTGCTTACCCACGAACATTGATCCCCACGAATTAAAATAATTCCACAGTACATGTTATATTACAACTCTCTTGTGGAAGTAGATGTAGACAATGAAACAAAACATACAAAGAGAAGTGAGGATCATGACTATGAATGGATAATCAAAATACATTTAAGATTTTTTAACCCTAATTTTACTGATCAGAAAATTTTTTGAAAGAAACACCATTCTATGCTGAAAAAATACAAGCCTTACTAAGTTTGATATCTTTAAAAATAGAAGCAAATCATATTTTTGAAATATTAAAAATATTTTCAGATTTTCGATATACACATGCAATTCATTTACTTTTGTTTTGATAAGGTACTACTGGTAGTGTTGCAAAAGAAACTAAATTCAACTTATTGATTTTCAAAATCTTTTGTTTCTTGCACATTAAGGTTGATCTGTCCTGTTTGTTAGGATCACACTATAGTCTTCTTGTTGCATTTCCTGTGCTGCAGCAGTACATGCGTAAATACTCCATCTTGTTATCCTGGACCTGTAAAGTAAAGGGCAACTTTTATATCACAATGACAAGGAAATTTATCTATAAATCTAAAACAATGCTAAGTGATTGTCATACCTGGGAATATGGTTTAGTAATACTAGTAATAACATTCTTTTTAGCGCCATAAATAAATCATCTACTTTAAACATGGATAAAAGAATAAAAGAAAATTACGATTATTCGATATTTACCTTTTTGCAAAATAAACAGTTGTACTAAAGATGGCCAGGAAGCAGATAACTATTCCTACCACAGATACCACCAAAATTATTATAAACACCGAGGAAAAGAAAGAATGTGTGTTTTCTCTTGACTGACATCCAAATCTGCGATAAAAATGAAGTGTCAGTGTCAAAATATGTCGTAGAAAACAACTAATTATGTTTTGTTTTATGACCATGCTGCTGTAACACAATATAAGATTCTCTTGTTTTTTCATACATGTAGTAACTGTTGTCTGATAATTTAAACGATCTTTACCTTTTCATGTTCAGGAAAAAATACAAGGCAATTAACTTTTCAAAGTTACGAATAAAAGTTAACAATAACATATAATGCACGAGATTTTAATTAGATATGACTTGATTTCAAAAGTGTGCCTTCTGCATTGAAAAATTAAAGAAAATTATGTTCCTGGGCACATACTAGTATTATACTCATCATTTACAAGTTTTTAAATTCACCATAAATAAATTTGCAGTACTTTCCCTACATTACATTCTATGAAAATGTACAGTGAATGTTCATGTCAATATAGATCTATATATTAAGAATCATACTCCTCTCACTAGTTGTTTCCACACAGCCATATTGCTTATCACAGATATCTGTACATGTACAATTTTCCTCACAAAAATGACCATAAAAGCCTTTAGGACACTCCTCGGAGCAGTTTACTCCATAGGACCCCGGGGGACATACTTTAAAAACATTTTTAAGCATGAGTTGATGTAGAAATATGTTTTTAAGGAAACATGTTCTGAAACAACTGAAGGTTACTTTTACACAATTTTTCCTATTGATATAGAATTAAAGCGTATACCTTCGCAAACACCATTTACTTCAAAGTAGCTAGTACAACATGATGTGTTTCTACAAGTAAAATATTTAATTATTTTGAAACGATAAATTTTTATACTCAAACAAACATAATCAAGAAACCTTATCAACTTATTATATTATTTAATATTTAAAACTTATCAATTTTAACGCTTATGATATTTAGATAACTTTCCTTGGATACATTTATGTTTTATCCATTATTATTCTAGTACTCTAAAAAAAATAAAGATAATCATTTTACTGCTTGGGACAATATCCAAGTGTCCTTGATGTATTGATGTTCTGACAATTACTGGAAAATAACTCCATAGCAATAAAGAATTTAGCACAACAAATAACAGATGTGTACAACTCCATTTGTAAAATGGTTTATCATGAGGAAAATATTCCCTACTCATTGCCTTTTCAAGGATACATTCTATTGTATTTTTTTTGGTACTTGAAACCATCGGAGATAGATAAGCATGAAAACACTATTTAAGACCAGGCTCAAATGATAGAGCTTCCGAAACAAAAATGCAAAATATTTAATAAGTATATAACAGAATTTGACACCTTATTTGACACCTATAATTATAAAGAATATGGAAAGGTCAAGTTAAAAAGATAACTTAAATTTAAATAGCTCACTTTTATCCTAATATTAATAACAAATCTTATTTATACCATACATATAAAAAAATATTTCTACCAATCCTGTCAGTGTCACTGTTCCCTGAACGTCTAAAACCTATATAAACAGTATAATTATCACAATCAATTAAGGGGCCCCTCTAAGGGGCACATGTAGAGTTGACCCGTGTTACCTGTGTTTTAAACTGTATGAATAAAATACAAAAAATAATAAAAGACTTATATAGGGGAAATCTTAGCAATAAGTCCTATAAAATAAATTAAATTAAATGTTATTCAAAATTTTAAATATTTTTGACTCAAACAATTTTCAAAGTATTTATTTTTAATTAAAAAAAAAGGTTATTTTATTATGATAATTAATCTTTAATTCTATTTATTTTTTAATCAAAATGTTTATATTTTAACATTAAAATATATCAATATATTTAAATGCCTTTAACATATTTAAAAAGCAAAAAAATCTTTTGTTTTCTTTTAGAAATAATCTAGACTAGATATTTTTTTTCAATCCATCAGTTGAATTCAGTTATTTTGTTATGGTGCTTAAAAAATTTTCATGTTCGTTTTTTTTGTACATGTACTATGTACAGTTTTGTCCTACCAACGCCCTAGCTGACTTCGAGACAGCTATCCACAATTCCATTCGACAAGTGTTTCCTGGAGTCAACACAAAGGGCTGTTTCTTCCACTTCAAACAGGAGGTATGGCGAAGAGCGCAACAGACTGGATTACAGATTCTGTACAAAGAGAATGACGACGTCAAGACATTGGTTCGAAGAGCAGCTGTTCTGCCTCTAGTTCCCCTCGGCTGCATAGAAGATGTATGGTTTACAGCCCTGGAAGACCGAGATGAAGCCGACCTTACAGAGCTGACACAGACCTTTACAGACTATGTGACAGAGCAGTGGGTGAATGGTGACCGACTTTTGTGGAACCACTTCGGCACGTACGGACCAAGAACGAACAACAGTCTGGAAGGATGGCACAGCAAGATAAAGAGAATGGTTCAACATGATCACCCCAACATACTCACAGTGATTAAGTTGTTCAAATACATTCAGAATGCCAATGAAATCTTACAGAGACAAGTCGGCGGAACCATCAGACCATCAGCTAAGAAATATGCCACCATCGGGAGAAGACTTCAACTGCTGCGAGAACGCCTCCAAAATGGGACAATCGATCTCATGACCTACACAGACTCCTCATCAGAGCTGTTGCACCTGGAGTAGTTATCATGAAGAAAAATCTGTGCTTATGAAATGAGAGATTAAACCCAATAAATGTGAAAAAAAATTTAGTGCTAATTAATGTATAGAACTGAAGTTAAACTCTGTTTCCATTTTAATATTGAAAAGCACATTAGATAGTACTTAAAATGTGATTTTAATGAAGAGTGCTTAAAGTGGTTTTATGTATTTTAAAATTAAATATTTGTAAAAAATAAACTTGTTATCACTTTAAATATATTGTATCATAGTGCTTGTAATGAAATGTGTTAAAAAAATAAAAATATTTATATGAAAAACACTTGTTTGGTGTCTTGAATTATAGTTATTTAATCAAATAAATTGTGGTTTGGTAATATTCTTTATCAGAAAAATAAATAAATTTATCTGATTTAGACTGATAAATCAAGATAACACATGTAACACAGGCAAAGTCTACCTGAACCCCTCAGAGGGCCTCTTAACTGAGTGTGATAATTATACTGTTTATATAGGTTTTAGACGTTCAGGGAATAAACCAGACAACATTGCAGTAATATACTGGTATCCCACAACTAGAATGTGAACCAAAAACAAAAATTTATTTGATGTATAATATACTGCACGCAAATAACACTAACATGACCTTAATATAAATTCAAAAAGACATTATAGAGAGTACTTATGGTTTTAAACAAGGTCAATAGAGGATGCAGGTGCAAAACGAGGAAGTGACCCCTCAAAAATACTCGAAAACTGTCAATTTAAAAAGTGTGCAAACACTATAAATGATATAATACATGTACTAATTAAACACAAACCACTTTACAAAACCTCCTGGGCTACAACTACAAAGCTAGTTTCCCATCCCAATTTGTGAATTAGAATTAATTTTAATCAGATGTGAAGGTGTTTTGATAAACACATTGTGATAAAATTTTGATTTTTTTACATTTTGTGATAAATTTGTACCTTTATGGCACAATGTATGTTTATAACACCTATCACTATATAAATTATGTACCTATAATATTCAACAGAAGATCATACTTTTTACAATAGAATATTTAATATGACAAATCCTTAAATAACAGACACTATTTAGTGTGGTGCAACAACTACCCCACTTCCCCCTTCTTAAAAAACATATAAAACTTTTATTATATAAAATATTTTTTGTTGCGATCTCGTGATATTTACAAACTTGTGTTTTGGGATGATTGTTCGTTTGTATGTTGTTGAACTTCCTCTCGTGAATTTTTCATTCATATGGAGACACTAGAATTTGCCGATGGAGAGATGCAAATTTTAGCCTATACTATCCTATACTCGGCACTCAGGGCCATTGAGCAGTGAGGGATATTTGTCATGACGGCAACTTCTGCGACAAGGGACCTCGGTTCATATTACAATTCCTGACCACGACGTAAGAAACAGCTCCTTACTCCGGGACTCAAGAATAGACGCTATAACTACAGTTAATTCTCGAATTATCGCCATTTGATTCATCGCCATTTTCGCAATACCGCCATGATTTCCCAAGGACGTTTTTCCTGCTATATAAAATTCTCTTTATAACGCCAAATTCGCATACCGCCATCCGCCACCCTGTTTTCACAACAAACGTCCATTTTTAAGTGTCAATTATCTCGATATACCGCCACAGGTGCATGTGGTCAGTGAAGCGCGGCTAATTAGTTGACGCTATTCCTGTTGCAGACAAGGTACATGCAATTAAGTAATTAAACAAGAATTAAATAAACAATAATTTTAACATGAACTGTTATAATAATTTGTTTTCTGTTTAATACATAGGCGTCGGAACCGGGGGGGCTAGGGGGGGCTTAGCCCCCCCACTTTTTTTCCAGATATATACTTAGTATAGAAATTGAACATTGCTTCGTAGGTTTAGCCCCCCCACTTTCTACAGACACGTCGCAGTATAGGTTAAATTGGGGGAAAGCAGAGGTGTTTGGAAAAAAAAATATGGTATTGAAGGTCGAACCTAACCCCCCCCCCCCCCCCCCCCCCCCCACGAAATAGGATTTTCGTGTTTGGGAAATGGTAAGATTTCTTTTTTTTTTTTTTTTTTTTTCTTTTTTTTTCTTTTTTTTGCTTGTCAGGTTATTTTTTAAGGTATAATTTTTTTTTTTTACACTTAGCCCCCCCACTTTCAATTTGCTTCCGACGCCAGTGTAATATAATCATTTAGTCATGGCTTCGCCACGAAAGCGGTCGTTGTTAAAGTACGTCGATAACGATATTATTTTGATGATCTCTGCTTTAAACAGTGCAAAGTTTGCTGGGAAAAATAATTATACGGTATAAATTGTAAACGTTCCATCAACAATGATACCATAAACAATGAACATATTAAAGAATTTATTTTACTTATCGGCAATATATCACGACGATCGACCCAGTATGTTTTTTTTTTCAATATCGAACGTGCAGATTTACATTCATATACAAATATTTGTCTTAAATGTCTTTATTTCATAACTGCACATTTTGTTTTAGCGAAATTGTACATTAAAAAAAATACTTGATGTATTTTCAATCAGAAATATGTTTTTATATACATGTACATGTGATAATTAGAATAGAAACTAAATTGTATTTCTAAGAACGATAACTCTACTTCTTGTTTTCTAAAAGATGGGAAATTCAATTCATCGCCAAATTCGTTATACCGCCATGATTTCTAAATTACAAAAGGTGGCGGTTTATCGAGAATTAACTGTACATTGAAATCGCAATATAATATTGTGAAAAGTCCTGGCTTTAGGATCATGAAACATCTTATGTCAAAATTAAGATTTATACTTAAATTGTAGAAGTCAAGCAGACCAAAATTAAAATATAAGTCAATATTGATTTATATACATGTAAAAGTGTTGTTTGTTTCTTTGTTTTTTGCAATTTTAATGATAAATAATCATTTTACATGCGATTGAAAATTTGACTTAGGTCTAAGTCTGTTTCATGATTCTCTGACTAGGTCTCTAAAATCCACTCAAGCATCTCTTTAATTTACTGGAAATATTTTCGAAAGAAGAAAAGAAAAGGCTTCAAGTTGTTAGAGCAATTACTGGAACCTGCTTTGTACCATTGTTTGTAAGGACTTTATGAAATTTTGGATTTCCAATATAGGTAATTCAAATTCATTTGGGTTAATGGGAATAATAAAAATATTTAAAACTGACGTTTTAAAGCCAGGAAAGAAAGTAAAGTAAGGAAATAAAATAACAAGATGTAGTTTTAACTCATAATATGGTGGAATACAAGATTGTTTGATTGTTTAAGCATTGAATTCATATTTTTGGCTGTCTTCGGTCTTATAACACACCTGGCCGTGCCGACAAATTGAATACCGCGCGTTAAAAAAATGAAAAATGCCCCCCCCCCCCGTCAATATTCTACGGGGTTACGTTTCGTTGTTACAACGGCATGCTTTAAACAAACTTGATATGACTAGTAATGGTTTTTCTATTCTTGAGAAGTTTTTTTCCTATTTATTCCTACGTACAAGTATGATTCACCTTTGTGGCTCCAACCT